AACGATTTGGAGCAAGTGACTCACAAAGTGTACTTCGACATCGAAATTAATGGGAAACCCATTGGTATGATTTCTTCATCTGGAAATTTTGATTGCCCAATTGGTCATTTCATCAATTAATTATGTGCAAACATTTCTGGGTAGTTTTTAATTTCTTCCAATTAAATGGTAAGGTTAAATTAAGTTAAGAAATTTGAGTTTTGTTCATCAGCTGTTGTAAATCACTTGGCAGATAAATGTTGCTTAATTGAAATTATTCATATTATCAATTAGTTTCGATTGGGAGCAGCCTCTCCATAAATGGGGGTAAGGCTAGCCGACATTCACCTCTCCCAGACCCTGCGTAAAGCGGGAGCCTTGTGCACTGGGTACGACGACGATCGATCAATTAGTTTCGAGCAAACATTTCTGGGTAGTTGTTAATTTCCTCCAATATTTGATCAAATTAAATTAAAGATGAGAACTTTGTGTTTTGTTCATCAGCTGGTGTAGATTTTACTTATTCATGTTTTGTTTTCTTTCAGGTCGCATTGTGATGGGTCTCTTTGGAAAAACAGTTCCTAAAACCATAGGTTGGTACCCAGTAACGTGCAACCACTGGGTTTATATGTGTTCGTTCTTCGTTGAGATATATTTCTGTGGAAAGAATTAACCGAAGTTTCTGTTTCAAATGCAGAGAATTTTCGAGCGCTTTGCACGGGTAGACAAATAACTTTAGCCCCCTTGTCTGTGATCTTGTGATCATTTGCATAGAAGCTACAGATTTTATGTTGTTGTTTTCGAGTTTAATGAGCCCTCCTCGTGTTTCAGGGGAAAAAGGAACTGGAACGAGTAGGAAGCCTCTTCACTACAAAGGCAGTACATTTCATAGGATTATCCCCAGCTTTATGATACAGGGAGGTGATTTCACTCTCGGTGATGGACGAGGTGGAGAATCAATATACGGTGATAAGTTTGCAGATGAAAACTTCAAACTAAAGCACACCGGGCCAGGCAAGTAAAGTCTGCTAGTGTTTGAGTAGTTTGTTCTTGCAAAAGTTCTCATTTAAGTGAAGTTTAAATGTAAATGTCGGAAGTGTATTGCTACTCATCTGAATTCGACTCCCTGCCTGAAAAACAGGTATTCTTTCTATGGCAAATGCTGGGCCAGACACCAACGGATCGCAATTCTTCATTACAACAGTCAAAACCGGTTGGTAGGTTTCCCTTGCGACGTTTCTAGGAATACCTGTGGTTTTAGATATTCAGCATTGCTAAATTTCTAAACGCTGTGTTTCTCAAGTAAGTCAGGGTTAGGAGATCAAATTTGTTAAGTTTTTCTCAAGTGCCAACTAGTTTCCATTCCCATTAGAAGATTCCTTTCCAACAACTGAAACAAAATCAATCCTGTCATACGATTACGAACTAGGTTACGATTTTGGCGTGCATAATTTGATTTGGAGACTGAGCACATGTACATGAACAGAATGTTTTGTAAACTGACATGCCTGCATTTCGCTCTGCTTTTCTTGAAAGGTTGGATGGGCGGCATGTCGTATTTGGCAAGGTGCTTTCCGGGATGGACGTAGTGTCCAAAGTCGAAGAAGTAGGAGGCAAGGATGGGGTACCTAGGAGCAAGGTTGTCATCACCAACAGTGGCGAACTTCCAATGTAACTACCCTAACCTTTCATACGAACGGCAACCGGATTCTCCTCCCTGTGAAAAAGTTGTACAACATACTATATGCTTATGTTGCACAAGACTGATAAATGCGTCACTAAAACGAGTTTCGATTCAGCAACTTATATTCTGTATTCGAATCTCGGCTCCTTATGTGTAAGGAGCAATTTCTCCGTATTTCAAATTATAGATTGACATGTGCACGTGTAACTCGTTAGAATAAAAGGTCGTACCCAGTGCACAAGGCTCCCGCTTTACGCAGGGTCTGGGAGAGGTGAATGTCGGCTAGCCTTACCCCCATTTTATGGAGAGGCTGCTCCCAAGTCTCGAATCCGAGACCTACCGCTCATGGGCGAAGGCACTTGCCATCGCACCAAGAAAAGTTTATGCATGTACGAGGACAAATTGGATTGTCATGCAACGAGCCAAGTGTTTTCAGTAAAATTAAACAAGTCGTCTTAATAGTTCATTGATTTATTGACCAAATGGGGAAAATAAACTTTAAAAATAAAAACACTAACAAGTTCTAACATTGCAAAAACCTAGTTGGATTATTACATTCAACTCAAATTTCAAGTGGTTAAAATTTTACTAAAAAAATTGGCACTATTTATCGGGCTTGGTGCCGCCGTCCTTGGCGTTTCCGCCGGCGTTGTGGTGGTGAAAGAAGGTGGAAAAATTGGATGAGAGGTCGGAGTAAAGCGAAAAAACCTTGGAGATGTTGTCGGCGACCCGAGACCGGTGGTTGTCGTTGACCTGCTGGATCAGGGAGCGGTTGCGATCCAGTACGGACTGGACCTCGTGGAACCTGCGGTTGAACTGGTCCCACACCTCCGAATCGTACGCTTCCTCGACTTGATCGAAGACGGCGGTGACCTAAACGGTGCGTTTGGTTGGGGATTCGTGGTTGAAGTAGTCCATGCTCGATTCGGCTCTGGATTATGAATCACGGGTGGTCATGTGTGGGAAAAATGTGAGCACTCTGTTGTTTGTCGTTTGTCGTTTCCTGTTTTGGGACGAGGAAATTACAAATATGTACCACACACAAGCGCTGTGCTTCATATGCCAACTTGTGGCACCATTGATCTTGAGAATTGGTATCCGGAATTCACTGGACAATGAGAACCTCCTCAAAATAAATTTTAAATATTTTTAATTTTCTCTAATATCTTAACATATCTACTTCACCAAACAATTGCTTGGAACAAAGTTGAATGGTTAGAGATCATATATTACACCTTCTTCCTATTCCTCCTTGTTTCATAATGAACAACAATATATCAAAAAGTCACACAATCTTTTTAGCAAAAAAAAAAAAAAAAAAAACAGTTGCTTACCTCCATACAATTCACGTCTCACATAATTGTTGCTTACTTCCATACAATTCACATAACTGTTACTTACCTCTATACACTTTCTCAGACTCATAATGCTATAGCATACATACTATTCTTCTTCTTCTTTGCCATAAAATGACAAAAGCACTTGCATTTATCAAATCAACACTTACATGAACAACAACATGCCAACAAAAATTGACTTGTAAAAACCCTGCTGTCATATGTTTTATTATTGAGTAAATTGTAGCTATGGTTCCTTAACTTTAATTAAATTGGAGCAATGGTCCCTCAATTAAAAATTCATTACCATTGGTCCCTCAACTCATCAAAACATGCAACTCTGATCCCTCAACTAAAAATTCATTACCATTGGTCCCTCAACTTTAATCCAACCGGAGAAATAGTCCCTCAACTTTAACCCAATTGGAGCAATAGTCCCTCAACTTTAACCCAATTTTAGTAATGGTCATTCCAACATAACTCATTTTGACAAAATTCTGATGAAGTTGACGAAAAAGCCTTTAGCTACCCGTTTTGATGAGTTAAGGGACCCCAATTGTCACAATGGTCTTTCCAACATAACTCATTTTGAGAAAATTCTGACGAAGCTGACGAAAAGGACCATAGCTACACATTTTGATGAGTTGAGGGACTAATGGTAATGGATTTTTAATTGAGGGACCATTGCTTCAATTTGATTAAAGTTAAGAGACAATTCCTACAATTTACTCTTTATTATTTTGCTGATGTGATTTAGGTTTTGATGCATAAATTGATAATGTTGGTGGTGGTGTCATCATCTCTTGTTGTATATACCAGATAAGCAAACAAATCAACAAAAACCAAGAAAAGCAGCTCACAAATGTAATTATATGAATGCAAGAGGACTCGGCATCTTACTTGATAATATTAGACTCATGTCTATGACCATGATGAACTCTTTAGGACACAAAAAATAACTATTTTTTCTTTATATACAACTCAAACCAGGAAATACTAAAACACAACCCCTAAATCCAACTGAATCAAATGTAAAACAAATTCGAATAATAATTTTCTAAATTCAGATTAAAAATAATCTATTTGTTTCTAAAGCCCAATTATATTAAATCACAAATTTGAAGCAGATTTTGACATGCAATAGGTCAATAAGGTAGGAATCGCTTTAGACTAACCTTGATGGCTGGCATTAGACGAATCGTTGAATTACCGTCGGAAAGCTTGAATCATAATCAATTTAAAAGATCTGGAGCAAAGTGGTTGCTTGGTGAGGACAAGTCGCACAAGATTTTCAATTGGAAGAAATCAGGAGGAAAAAGATGAGTGTGGGGCATTTTTGTCCCAGTGAAAAATGTAATAATACAAACTTCTCAGAGGTAAAACAGAAAGCACATTGTGCTTATGAACAGTGTTTCTGAGTATGTAAGTCTATCTTACATTGTCGGTCTCAAACTCAAATAAAATAAGAGAAAAAGTGCGTCAGATAGTCGATATCCTGCACTCTGTTTTCACATCGAATCCCTAACTGAACTTTCCAAACTTCTCATCTCACGAACCACCAAAATGTATTCAGACCATTTTTTAATTTTATTTTAACAAACGATATTGTGTACACTAGGGGTGAGGGAGTGAGTTAAGCCTCATAATAGGCTAGCAATAATGTGGTTCAAATTCGTTTTTGGCGAGAATCGAACATTAGACCTCTCACTTACAAACGAATAGGAATACCACTAGACCATAGTACTAATTGGCGTTTAAGACCATTTAAAAAAAACACAATAAAATAGAATTTATTTCTGATTTTTTACGTTTTAGATAGATCTTTTGAGCTACGTTATATTAACTTCACGATGTTCCATTCATTTTGGATGAAGCATCTTTCGATTCTTTTTCAGCAAAAGAAGTTATATAGTTGTAACACCTGCAAAGTAATTTTCATGCGCCATTTCTTTCTCTAGATACGTCTATTTCTAGTATTTGAACAAAATCAATAGACAAAAATAAACAAGGGTATGCCGAAAGAGAAAAATAGTATGTGAGAATGATTCCATATATGAATTCCACATTGGATAAAACATAAAAATAAAAAGTGTGAACAATTTTGCAAGACAAGGCTAAGGAAAAGGGAGGAGTGCGGAAATCATTCCCCATCTGCAAATTAGTCCCACTGAATCTCCCAATAAAAAGTCGAGCTGGAGGGATTGAACGTTGTCTTTCCGTCAGCAGCAGCAATATCATATGGTGAATCCTCTGAAAATTCTATTGGCATCGATTTCCAGTGTAAACTAGGCTTCCAGTCAGCTTCTCTCAGTACCTTGAGTATCTCTTCCACCACTATCTTGCTCCCTTCAGCAGAAAAATGAATCCCATCTCTGCAAAAAGATAAGCGAAGATACGTTAAAATACATCTCAAACAGATATCCGAACAGTGTTCATGATATTTCAGCCCTACTTTGTATTCGTTCATATCACTATCGTATGACAAAACCATCGAAACATTTACCCGTGATGGATGATGGAATGAAACCTTCTCTCTGAAGAGAGGATATTAAGCAAATTTTTCCCCGAATATATGGATTCGGTAGTGTATGAGCTATTAACTGGAAAAAAAAATCTTCACAGCTGAATCCAAGAGGGGCTAAAAGTTTGCTTAAAGGGTTTGAATATGTGCGCTGAAAAGCACACCTGCAGCAAGGCACATGAAGGTGTGATAGCAAATCAACCGTACAGGTTATCCCTAATCGTCTATATATTCATCACTCGATCACCTTTGCGACTTTACTAGCAAAAATATTATGTGCAAGGTATATAACTTATCCGGTACATGAGGAAGGATGCTAAGATATTAAACAGGGAAATTGATGATTTAAATGCAAACAATACAAATGTCAACAGATGGTATTGGCAAAAACGAGAGCGCGAAAATAAATGCCAAGTTAACTTACATAAAACAAGTATTCATCCAGTCATCTTTTCTCTGAACTGCAGTGAAAAGATCAACAGATGTGACATTGATTTCCTGGCAAAGCTTTATACAAGCTTCTGAATACTGTTTGCATAACTCGTTGGTTCTTATCATCTCGCTGAAACTCCCGCTCCTTTTAAAGAGGAAAAAATGATATATAAGGGACACTGCCACATATGATAAGGTTAACTATAGAAACAAGAGTTGCATCTGATTACCTTATGTTTTCATTTATTACGGCCTCGTTCACTGGAGGACAACTAAGAAAGATGATCCGCGTTGAATCTGAAAGGCTCTGGTTTTCAAATATAGTGTGTTAGAATGCATCAAAATTTTCAGTTAGATATGCAAGCACAATATTCTTTCGTTTGAGGATGACACTGACGGGAAACATATATGAAACAAAACCAGAATCGAATTACTGCAACCACATAAAAAGATACATGATTCTGGATAATTAATCAAATTTGTTTTCAAGTGTTCAAAAATCAACACCTTTTGTTTCCTGAAAACAAATTTACTACTTGTTTATCTTAAATTTCAGGTAGACGGGCCATGGGCCTACTCCAACAACACCGATACTGTCCCCACTTGGCCACCTGCTCAATCCGTCAGGTGTGGGGTTTTACTACAAAAGGCCTCAGTATTAGTTAGAGTGAGGTAATTCTATATATATAGCTTGTTCCCAAACCTTTTGGCCGATGTGAGACAGAGGAATTCTAACAGTTTAAGCCTCCATTTGCATGAGAAAAACAGTAGATGCCGAAATGGAATTTATGTAACAGATGGTTCGATAATTCAAAGGCATGTATCTTAACATAGATGAAGAAAGTACCTTCAGATGACTTGCAATCTTTCTCATGTTCTCGATATATTCAGGAAGCGGGACATGAGGGCCGAGGCCGGATGGATGAGGCCCCATAGAATCATTACCACCAAAATAAACCATCACCAAAGAAGGTTTTACAGCAGCATCCTAGAACAAGAACAGTAATTCAATATTGGCGAGCACTGTAATATACACAAGCCAATATCTAAGTTTGTAATCTAACAATTCCCCCCAAAACATGCCACTTACAAAGATATGAGTACAAACAAACAAATTAATCTTCGTCACTCGTGTTCCTTTTTACAAGACGGTTTTCCAAATTACTCTAATATACATAGAGAGGGAATTCGAACTTAGATGCGTGCACACTACTCTAATCTACTGCTCAACACAAACCCATATAACGCTTCTTTGACAAATATTTTTTGTTGGTCATTATTCTCAAAGGGGTAGTTATTTCCGAACTCCACTTTTGACCGGGTACACTCCAATTCGAATATTTTAGATTTTTTTCTACACTCAGCACTCACAAAGGGGTGGGTTCAGTTTCATTCAGTTTGGTTTTTTGCTAAAATCGAAACAGAACCAAAACTTCGAGTTAGTTCGGTTTGATTTTCTTTTGGTTTGATTTTTTTTCGGTTTGTTTTTGTTTAGTTCGGTTTCGGTTTTTTCATTTTATAAATTTTTTTTTTAATATGGAATTTAGATGCATTGGTAGACTAATAATAAGAAAATAGGAAAAGTAGAAATGTAGTTGTACATATACAAGATCATATAAACCAATCATATTCTATCAACAACCTCAATTGCAAAAAAAAAAAAAAAGTAATAATAATATCACCATATCCATTCAAAAAGCAAATAAATAGAGATGCTCTTCCGAGTTTCAAAGTCTTCCAAAACTTTCCTTCATAACCAATGGAATATCCTCCCTAATTGAACCAAGTATGCTCCTTGAAAAATCCCTAGGCTTAGTTTCAAACTTGGCAACAAAGTTTCACAAAAAAACATTATGGACATACAATTATAAAGTGTGAAGGGATTCGATTTGGTTCGGTTCAGTTCAATCTCCGAACCTCCAAAACTGAAACCGTACCAATGAAGTTTGGTTCGGTTCGGTGGTTTGGACATGTGCAAAGAAGGCATACTGACGCTCCGATTAGAAGATGCGACTATGGGACAGAGGTTCAGGGCCGAAGGGGTAGAGGAAGACCTAGGAAAACTTTGGAAGAGACTCTAAGAAAAGACTTAGAGTACTTGGATCTAACGAAGGACATGACACAGGATCGAGCACAATGGCGTTCTAAGATTCATATAGCCGATCCCACTCGGTGACTTGGATTTTCCAAGTCTCCAACCGAGAAGTTTTCCTCACTCGGAAAATTAAGGGAACACTACCCCAACCTACATGCTCTACTCAGAAAGCTTCAACATACAAGCTTCAACAAAAGAAAATTCAAAGAACTTAGCGAATAAGGTTTTGGTGTATCTAACACAATACGTTGAAATGAATGAAATCTTATTTATTGATATCCCCGATAAGCTACAAATATGTACATATACATGAGTCAAAATAAACACACAAGAGGGAGCCTTCACAAAGGTTGCTTAGGAGAAGTCTCAGCAGTCGGTAGAGCCCCAGAAAGAGAAGGCACCGGAGGGGGATCATTTGGAGCCTCAGTACTGGACAGAACCCTAGAAGGAGGAGGCATCAGAGGTTGATCATTTGGAGCTTCATTACGCGGTACAGCCCCAGAAGACGAAGGCAATAAATGCCTTTGGAACAAACCCACAAATCTCTGATGATCAAGTAAAACCTGACCATCAGTTTCCTTTATCTGGTCAAGCTTCCTCTTCATGTTTGTAGCATAGTCATGTGCGAGCCGGTGCAACTGTTTATTCTCATGCTTGAGCCCTCTAATCTCCTGTTTGAGACTCATCACTTCAGCCGCCAATGATTCAACTTGGCGGGTTCGAGAAAATAGGCGTTGGGCCATATTAGACACAGAACCTGCACACTGAACACTGAGAGCCAGCGAATCCTTAACAGCTAACTCATCAGACCGTTTGGAAAGTAGTCTGTTATCTTTGGGAGTGAGAAGGTTCCTGGCCACCACCGCAGCGGTCATATCATTCTTCATCACGGAATCCCCAACGGTAAGAGGACCAGTAGGGGAGACGAAGGATGGGCGCCATATGTTGTCTGGAGAAGGCGGGGCTGCCTCTTCAACAAGGTTCAAGTCAAAACGACGGTCGGAGGGGCCAGACATTTTCAAAGGTGTTGAAGAGAGAAGAGGTCGGACAAATCAAGATCTTAGAAGTGCAAGAATGAAGCTTCTACTGGTGGAGATTCAAGTATGCTTTGGAACTTAATGCCAGCCCCTATAAAAATCTGCACTCGACGGAGCTTCAGAAATCGAAGAGGCGCCTGCTCAGAAATCGAAGAGGCGTTTGCTTTCTCAAAAGTTGGGCTGCTCAAAGACCTCAAAGGCTGATCTCAGAAATCGAAGAGGCGCCCGCTTTCTCAAAAGCTGGGCTCCCCAGAGACCACGAGGGCCGATCTCAGAAATCGAAGAGGCACCTACTTTTCCAGCCTTGTCAGCACCTGTCACACGCACACTCAGCTTTGCGGAAATTATGGGCATTCTGTCGAAGACTTCTGGGGAAGTAGAAAACACATGAATCTTACTGTTCAATCACCCACTTCCCACACGCAACAATAGCTCATGGGTACCACAGAAAACTTTGCCAAAGTTCTCTGCCAAAGTTGAGCACTTGCAGCTCCCACTACATCGCTCTGACCAAGAAAGGTAAAAGAATAGCAAAGAAACAGCACTAACAAAGTTTAGACCCATAAATTTTGAAGGTCTAGCTACCATATTATTACCCACAAGGGTAAAGGAACAGTACCACTGCTGGATAATTGGAAAGTCCCTGTGTGTCAACCTCTGTGCTTCGTGGCAAGGTAGACTAGCAAACATGCCCAACCTTTACTCACATTCGAGAAAACACTCCCAACAAGATTGCTTGCTCCAAAATCGAAGAGGCACCGTCCTCCGAATCTCGAGAGCCAGACTCCCAACATGACTACTTTCTTAAAAATCGAAGAGAGGGTAAAGGAACAGTACCATTGCTGGATAATTGGAAAGTCCCTGTGTGTCAACCTCTGTGCTTCGTGGCAAGGTAGACTAGCAAACATGCCCAACCTTTACTCACATTCGAGAAAACACTCCCAACAAGATTGCTTGCTCCAAAATCGAAGAGGCACCGCCCTCCGAATCTCGAGAGCCAGACTCCCAACATGATTACTTTCTCAAAAATCGAAGAGACACTGCTCCCCGAATCTTCGAGAGCCAGACCCCCAGCACGATTGCTTTCTCAAAAATCGATGAGGCATCGTTCTCCGAATCAATCGAAGAGGCGCTCGCTTTCTCAAAAGCTGGACTGCTCAGAGACCACGAGGGCCGATCTCAGAAATCGAAGAGGCACCTACTTTTCTAGCCTTGTCAGCACCTGTCACACGCACACTCAGCTTTGCAGAAATTATGGGCATTCTGTCGAAGACTTCTGGTGAAGTAGAAAGCACATGAATCTTACTGTTCAATCACCCACTTCCTACACACAACAATAGCTCATGGGTACCACAGATAACTTTGCCAAAGTTCTCTGCCAAAGTTGAGCACGTGAAGCTTGCAGCTCCCACTACATCGCTCTGACCAAGAAAGGTAAAAGAATAGCAAAGAAACAGCACTAACAAAGTTTAGACACATAAATTTTGAAGCTCTAGCTACCATATTATTACCCACAAGGGTAAAGGAACAGTACCACTGCTGGATAATTGGAAAGTCCCTGTTTGTCAACCTCTGTGCTTCGTGGCAAGGTAGACTAGCAAACATGCCCAACCTTTACTCACATTCGAGAAAACACTCCCAACAAGATTGCTTGCTCCAAAATCGAAGAGGCACCGTCCTCCGAATCTCGAGAGCCAGACTCCCAGCATGACTACTTTCTCAAAATCGAAGAGAGGGTAAAGGAACAGTACCATTGCTGGATAATTGGAAAGTCCCTGTGTGTCAACCTTTGTGCTTCGTGGCAAGGTAGACTAGCAAACATGCCCAACCTTTACTCACATTCGAGACAACACTCCCAACAAGATTGCTTGCTCCAAAATCGAAGAGGCACCGCCCTCCGAATCTCGAGAGCCAGACTCCCAACATGATTACTTTCTCAAAAATCGAAGAGACATTGCTCTCCGAATCTCGAGAGCCAGACCCCCAGCATGATTGCTTTCGTAAAAATCGAAAAGGCATCATTCTCCGAATCTCAAGAGCCAGATACCACAGACCACTTTTTCAAAGTGCTCTGACAGAGTTAAAACATGTGAAACTGGCAGCTCCCACTACCGTGCTATGACCAAGCAGGGTAAAGGAATAGCATTACTACTTGTTAGGGAGACTCCTATATATGTCGACCTCCATCCCCAACGGACAGGCAGACCTGCAAAAATGCTCAACCCTTCATCATATCTGAGAGGGCACTCCCAACGAAGCCTTTCGAAATATTCAGCTTTCTTTCCCCCCGATAATACCTCTGCAAACAAGCTATACTAGAGCAAGAATATCTCATATCATCAGGGTTAAAAGCAAGAGTATCCCATATCATGCTTTTTCCCTGTCTTTTCCTTTGGCCTTGTTTTTACCTGCAAGACAAGGAGAAAGAGAGCAATCAGTCAGCACTTGGAATCAAGCTTCCAGCCAGGAACTGACTGCCTGGAACCCCTTACCTGATTACTTACCTGGCATTGCTCTCGAGTACTCATCTTCAACATCCTATGTTTCCAGGGAAGATTCCGCATCTACTTGAGGAACAGATAGGGCAAGTGCGAAGGATACAAGGAAGCATGTGGAGACAAGCGTAACAGCACACGTGCCGATACATCCATTACTCTGTCAAAAGCAAAAGTATCCCATATCAGCAGGGTGGAACGTACTCTAGATTTGATGGACTTGTTTTGACCCTCAAATTCTTCAGTCGGCCTTATACTCTGAAGGAAACCAGAAAACCCTCCAGCTCAGTTCAAGAATAAGCCTGTGGAAAGTTACTTCTTCAAAAGCAAAAGTATCTCATATCATCTCTTCTCATTTTTCTTCTCTTTATCCTTCATGCTGCTGCTGCAAGATGGGGAGAAGGTGAACAATCAGTCGGAGCTCTGATTGCTTACCTTGTCTGTCACCTCTTTCAGCAGACCCCCTAGCTCGGCGACTTGGGGGACTCCTACTACATGGTTTGTATCGCGCTTGACCAAGCCTGAAACTACAAGTAAGCTTCAAGTGAAATTGATACATTACCTTGTGCATC